GGGGGCAGAGAACGGTGGGGTATTATTTTATATGGGGGGAGGCAGAGAACAGGGGGGAGGGTATTTATTTTATATGTGGGGATGTGGAGGGCCACAATGTTTACATTGCTTTATCTTAATATTCTGCCTTCAACATTTAAAAGTGTAATTTCATAAGATAATTTAAGAGGGTGGGTTTAGGGGCGGAGTTAAGGCCGAGGCAGGGTTGGGGTTAGGTGGGGCAACTGGTGGCGAGTAACTCTTAAGGCCTGGCTAGTAGCTCAGGACTTGAAGTTTTGAGCCCTGGTGTAGAATATGTAGTTTCATAGGAATAGGGGACCACTGGGTGTTCTAAGGGTTGTGTTCTACACCAACATAATTAGGGTTTAAAACTCTACTTAATTTGAAGGAAATTACTAATAATAGGCTCCAATGTGTTTGGTGATTTATGGCTATGGTATGCTTTGCTACCATGCTCCTCATATAGAAGCTATAAGGCACCATTGTTCAGTGTTATTTTTTAGTATAAATGTATGGTATGAAATTAAGTCTCTTCATGAAACATATCTTGAAATACAATACCCAGCCAGTTACAGTATAAGAATATTATCTTAGCACAAATATTATCTATTGTGTTACATAAGGGATTGGCTTCTGTAAATATAACATGAGAGTTCTTGAGACCATTTAAAATGTTCAGTAAATATCTAAATCATAGAACAGAATAAGAAGTCATTTCTTGGACCCAGTACAAGCTAAAGGTGAATGTAAAGTCTGAGAACAAGTAATCCACCCAGTCTTCAATCACTGTACTGATACAAAGAACAGAATATTGTTTATTACTTGTGAATACAGTAGATCATACAATGTAAACCCTAATGCTATTTTCAGTATGCTTGACATCAAGTCTCACTATATAGTTTTCTTAAGCAAATAGTAACTTGTAAATCTGTTGCAAAGTTTCTCACATGTAGATCCTGCCAGTAACAACGCTTCTGTGGGAGGCTGACAATGCTAAGCCTTTGCATCACAAGCAGCAGCAGTGTTGTCTTTCTGCCATTTATATAAAGAGGAACTCCAGGAATCTAAAAAAATTAACCCTTGCAGTAGGGCTAGGGTCTCAATTAAAAAATGTACTCGCCTGATCCTTGGTCCCACCTGAGTGCGACAATCGTCCCCTCAGCCTCCTCCCCCCAAGTTCCAGTGATCCAAGCCCCGCTGACAGTCCCGGGAGAGAGGTCAGCGCTGACTGCCACAGGCCAGAGGATCAGGTGAGTATATCTTCTATATTCTGGCCCCTAGACCAAAGAAAACAGTTAACCCTTGCAGTACGATGGTAGCCCCACTACAAGAGTTCATTATTTTTAAGTAACAAGCGTTCCATTTTATTAAAACACTCTAGCAAAGATAAACCTTATGTGCCCTTAAAAACAATATACAATTTATTTAAACTAGTATTAAACTCTTAAACTGTTTTCAATAGTGATTCCATTTTAAACAAATATACATCACCCTGCAAAGTATTTCTTTACATTTTTGCCCAAGCACTTACAATCATCATTTGATGGATGGAAGACTCCAAAAAATGGGAGAAGGAAATATGAGGACAAAAGTCGCAGGAGATATGTGACTTAAGCTGGCCATGCACTGCTCTATTTTTTGCATTCAACCAACGAGCTGAAGGAGAGGAATAGAGCAGATAACCTCCATCAACTAAACGAGCACTTTGATTGAGGAATCCCCAAAGTTACTTTTTTATCTTGACATTGGCTGCCAGCTTTTTTTGTACAAAGAATTTCTGACTGTCTCCTTCGATCAGCTGATTGAGGGATACCGGTTGAAAGGGTGCTGATTGCAGGACCCACTGTGCAATTTTCGGCCGTTACATCAAGAACTGGCCGAAATGCACCCAGTGTATGGCCTCTTAACATGTCGAAATTTTGCATAGTGGAGATATACTAGTCTGAAATTTGAAATTAAATATTCACATACAGTAGATGTGTTTGCAGGACGTCCCATAGGGGATATCAAACAACAAGTATTATAATGCATGCAGGGAATACTTCTGTCCCTCCGCAAATGGTAACCTGTTGGGGTGCGATTCAGGTAATCTGGAGCTAGTATGGTATAAGAGTCCGATCTGGTCTTGAGGGTATTAGAAAAAAGGCATAAAAAGGCAAACATTGGTTCAGCAGAGACGCCTTGTACAAATCAGACAACATCTAGGTCTTCCATCAGTTGTCAATGTGAAACAACTACACTATTGAAAAAACATTTTTTTTTATGTGCTTAAAAATACATGAAAATGCATTGGGTGGGCCCCTAATCAGCATTTCAAATAGCTTAAAAAACCTTTTGAATTTGTTATCACTTTGCAAGGGACAAATTAGTCATATAACTATTGTAAAGTGACTTGATGCATATAGACACTGCCAATTTTGGTCTGGGCATCTACACATCAATGAGATCTGGTCATTACAGGGTATAGTTAAATAACCATTTGAAAGTCATACTGTATGCGTACAACATGAAAAATTAAGACATTTACAAACTCAAGTTGTATAAGTATGTAATATTTGTCAAATAATATATACAAATAAAATTTCACGCATGCTACCTCACTTATGCAGATGTACTGACTCCATTGTACTGTGTATTTTGCATTTGAATCCCCACACCAACTTTTCCTGCCAATGCATCTAAAGAAGTGTTGTGTTCTTTTCTTTTAGAATCCCCGATAAATCCGACCAATCATCTGCTTCAGGCTGTGTCCAATGTCATCTGCTCTGTGGTATTTGGGAGCCGGTTTGAGTATGAAGATTTGAGGTTTCTGAGACTTCTCAATATGTTCAATGAAACCTTCCAGCTCATGGGCTCCACCTGGGGACAGGTAACTAGATGGAGATTACTACTTCATAGCAGAAATTCTTTCCCTGGCTTCAAAATGTCTTTCCATTATAGAGAAAATAAAGCTGGCTTTAGAATTTTAAAAACAAATACTTCATATCTAGTGTTAATTCGGTGAAGGACCTTCAAGGACCAATTGTGACTTTGCATCTAAGATTCCAGATTTCTGGACAAGGGACAAGACCTTTAAAGTGATATTAAAGCCACCTTTTTATTAAAATATTTCCTACAAGGAGACCCGTCTTTGATTGAGGCTGTTGCCGTTTTTCTTTAAAAGTTTGTGATTCCCCGATTTCTAGTGGGTCCCCGCAGCAATATTCCCCCCGACCCCTACACAGGTGCCTCCATCGGCTAATGGAGGCACCAGTGCGTGCTTGTGCCTTCAGTGGCTGTGTGTGTCCACGCCCCTCCTCTCCGCCCAACAATTGATTGATGGCAGAAGGAGCCTACGGCTCCTTTGCCATCCGTATCCTCCCCCAGCAACCAGGAAGTTTGGGGAACGGAGGATCGCTTCAGGATCGGCGGCGGGGATGAGTGTAGCTGACAGGTAAGTGGGGGGGGGTTAAAGAAGGTACTGGGCCGTTTTACCCTAATGCAGAGAATGCATTAAGGTAAAACATGCCCAGACCTTAATACTACTTTAAGTGTTACCTAACTGCACCAGAGAAAAATCAAGCCTACTTCCCTGCTGTGCTGTGCTCTGTGGCGGACCTGTGTAAATCTCACAATTAGATAGACAGAGTAGAAATCCTTGGCAAGTAAAACCGCTACCTTATATGTATTTCATCTGTTTGTTTAGCTGTTCACCTGGAGTTCAGGTAACTGAAGCAAGAAAGTCAAAGTTACAGAATGAAAGATTGGATTTTACTGTTTGCAAGGGGCTATTACATAATTTTTTGGTCAGTTTGTTTTTTCTTAATGAATCACCCCCATACTGTACAAAAAGGCAGTTCTAGATCATTAGATATGGTTTCTGATCAATATATAACTTCCACATACTGTTATAAAGGTCACCTTTTTGTACTGTGATGTAAAACATATATAGGCCTTTAACTTGTGACCCACCTTAATCAGATACAATTATTTTGTCAATCTTTCAGCTGCATGACATGATTCCGGAGATAATGGACCATGTTCCTGGACCCCACCAAAGGATTAACAAACTGCTGCAAAATCTATTAGAGTTTGTTTCTGAGAGGGTGAAGATCAATCAGGAAACCCTGGACCCCTCAAACCCCCGGGACTACATAGACTGCTTCCTGATTAAGATGAATCAGGTAATCTTTATATTATGATAAACATGTTAATAATAATCCTTCCTTCAAACCATTCTATTGGTATGGCCTGTGTAGCGGAGACCTTATAGTTATGCTAACTACCACTAAGTACAGCCTGATGGTACTGATCTACAAATTGTAAGCCAATGACAAGCGTCTGTGTTGGTAATAAAAAAATAAAAATAAAAATGTTTGCAGAGCAGATTAGGTCTCCAGAAAATTAGTTACAGAAGGGTTAGTCTTGTGTAGCGCCCCCCTGACCCCTAGACACCTGTGGTGGAGCTCCAAAGGTAGGGAGGGCTAATATTTTACTCTCAGGGGTGGATCCTTAGCTGGGTTGTGGGACGTAATCAGTAAATTGGGCACCAGTCACTTTAAGGACTTTTCAGATGCTTTATTATAGAACAGCCAAACTGGGAGAGAGGATATAGGGCTTCAGTCATCCATAGCAAAATAAGACTCCAGACTCACCAATCCCTTGAGCCTTCCACAGTGCAGGAATACTTTAGTTGTGCAGAGGATGACACTGTGTAGTAGAGCAACAGCTGAACAGGGAATATGCATCATGAGATCTTCCCAGGGAGAGATACCAGGTCTGTTCCTGAGGTCCATGCCATCCTGGCCTCCTGGCATCTCCAGCAGTCATAGGGCTTCTCTGGTTCTCCTTTCCAGATAGATCCAGACCCCACCTGGGTCCACATGTGGCCCCTTCCAGGCTTGAGGCCTAGTCAGCTTCTCCAACCTTGTACATCCCACCCCCAGGCTACGCCTGGGGGCAGACTACCCTGGGCACATGGTGATTCCTGAGTATATTTATGCACTTCCCCAGCATGCAACACTGGCCATGAAACTCCTGGTGATTGGCTGATGAGGCATAGACACTCCTAATGTTCCCTTATTGGTTTCCCACTCTGTGGCAGGGTCACACCCCACTACAGGTCATTGCAATAAATAGCAGAACACCTAGAATAACCAATGATACCAGACTACAAATCAGCCAGACTGATTACGGTTCCAAAAACATTAAATTTAAGTAGCGACTCCACTTAGGGTGGAAGGGGTTACACTTGTACAATCAAAACCATTTAGGCCATTTTAACACACCCCTGAAAGTGTATGTCAAGCCAAAAACTTTTTTTTTGTTTTGGTAGAGTGGGAAAGAGCTAATACCCCTCTCAGGGGTAGTAAGCAGTAACAGAAGTGTTGAAATACTGACCACCTGGAGAAAATCCTGCTTTAGGCTTCTCCCGGGGCTAATCACATAACCAACCCCAAGTCATCATGCAATCTTTTAAAGAGGAGGGCCAGACCTGAGATTGGCTGAACCTTCCCTTTGGCAGAAATAGCATAATCATGACCTGAAGCTTTGGGTCATGTGACCAGCAAGGAGCCAAGAGAAGAATTATTATTTAAATCCTTCTATTACTTTCTTTTCAACCCTGCAATATTAGCACAGTTTAAAGTTACCATTTCAGTATAGTTTCAGACAGAGAACATCCACTGAAATGATCTAAAGCTCTGGCTGACATCAGGGGCGTCCCGAGGCTGGGTGACACCCGGAGCGGTGTCCGAGTGTCACCCCGCCAAAACGTCACCGCGCGTGTGCGCGATGACGTCATCGTGCACGCGTGGCAGTATTCTGGTACCTGCCGGCGGCCATCTTGGTGATGGACGCCGGCAGAGAGAGGAGGAGACAGCCACCCGGCGGGATAAGGTATGCAGCCGGGTCCCCTCCTCTCTACTGATACTTTTGGGCGTTCGGTTCATGACCAAGCACCTGACTTTTCAGAGGGGGGTGACACCAAAATGACTAAGTAATTTTGGTGTCACCCCTCCAATGGGCCGCACCCTCCGCACCCCCCTTGTGACGCCACTGGCTGACATTCTGGTGATTATTACAGATTGTTCTCACTCCACACACCATGAAACTTGTGCACAGTTCTGCTGGAACAATTTTCAATAATGCAACAGTATTTCCCTATTAGGGTATGTTTACTATCTCCCTGCACTGTCTCTGTAGAGAGAGGTAGTTGGCAGATCCCTACTATCAATGCACTTTACACACATACCAGCAAAATAATTGTACTGACATCTACAGGAATATTAGATGGGTATATTTGGAAAACAGAGGTGTAAGTCAAAACCTCAGGGCCCCAGTGCAAGAAACTATGAAGGCCTTGATGCAAGAAACCATGAAGGGCCCTACACTCCACCACACACACACACTCACTCACTCACTCACTCACGCACACACACCACCACTACCACTATCGTGGGAGGGAGCTGCGGAGCGTTGGCCTGCTGCATGCTGGGAGCTGTAGTCCCAGGAAGCAATGTTGGTGTCTTAGTGGTTACCAGGGCCTTTACAGGTCCTCCCCAAGTGGCTGAACCCCGGGGCCCGGTCACATGTCATGACTTTGTCTGTGACTAGGGATGCACCAATACTAGTATCGATGGTGATACTGAGTATTTGGGCAAATACAAGTATGTTCCGATACTTTCCCCGATACCGGAACTTCTGTTCAGAGGAAGGGGAACATGGAGCCAGCTTCCAGTGCAATCGGGAAGCTCGATGAACAGCCGGCTTCATGGTGATTGGCCGGGAAGCCCGCTTCCCGGTCAACCAGCATCAAGGCGGCCGGACAGCCGGCTCCTTGCTGATTGGCTAGAAAGCCGACTTTCCAGGCAATCTGCATCGAGCCGTCTTCCTAGGCCAATCAGGAAGCTGGTAGGCGGGTACTTGGCATAAGCATGTGTATCATAAATGAAGTGGAAATTTGTTCACACTAATTGGCACAGATATCGAACTGTCGAACCCGTACAGCAGAATGTAATCACAATTTAAATAGTGCATAATGGTTTATGCTTTTCAAAGGGGATACCCTCTTCCTCAGAGGTCTGTGGCCATTAGTCTGACCAATCTTCCACTTGAATAGATTTATGATACACATGATTATACCAAGTACCTTTGTGGGTACAAGTTATCTACTTTAATGAAAATGTATTGAGGATTTTAAACAATGCCGTCACACTCTCGGTTTGTTTTTGGTGTTGAACCTTTACCCAGACTATGCAAACAAAGTATTTACACCAATCACCTTTGTAGCTATGGGCATTGTGGAGAAATGTGTCTTCAAAGTTTACAACAGAGGACTGAACGCTTAATTTTTTCCTATTATTTTCAATTGCAACAAAACGTGGCAGCCTGCCTACCTTCTAATGTGAACACACAGCAGATGTTTCTAAGCTGTTGGAAAATGGAACCAGACTTTAGAGTGTGTGTTGTGATCTTTGAGGATGTTTGAAAACGAACTACTTCGCAATAGAAGTAAATAGAGAGGTCAGGGATTGCCTGTTTTAAAGCTCTTTACTTAATTTTAAGAATATATAAATACTTTAAATCACAGTCCTGGCACAGGTGCACCATATGGATGTATGTACCAGGAATTCTGATTGTTTGCTATTGGCAAAAGCTCCAATTACATTCTTTTACTTTAAATCCAGATTTAATCAATCAGCCCCTTTGCACTTAAATGTTTACGTTTATAAAATAAAATAAGTTTATGTCCGATAAATAGATTTTAACATAAAAAAATATATTCTAGATAAATTGTGCAGAATATTCATAAAATACAATCAGTGACCACGACCATCACACAATGACCGTGAAAGTAAAGTTGTCACTGTGAAATATGTTTTGTGTTAAAAACCAATGCAAACCATCTTGACAGCATAATGCAGTTGTAAATGTGTCTGGGACATCCCCAGAACACATTTATTACAGCAAAATCTATTTATTACATGACATTTATCTTCACAAAATGCATTTTATTACAAAACACATTGGATGGAATTCATGAAAACTGAAGCAGTTTTCTTATAGCAACCAATCAGCCTCTCTCTTCAGTTTGTTCACTTTAGCTTTGAACATGAAACAGAGAAGCTGATTGGGGGCCATGGACAACTGCTCCAGATTCTGTCTGCTCCACTTTTTATAAATCCACCCCCCCATTTTATGCTTGGAAATATGCATTATGTGTAAACAACTTTCTATAGGCAAGTGGCACCCTTATATTATATATGCCATCACCCAGTGAATGCATACAAACTGCTGCTGCATCAATGCTAAGCTCTGTAAACCTCTTAAAACAGTATAATATAACTTTTTTATTTTAAAGCTATTTTCTGCATTTGGAGAATTCAGGATATATTTTCTCAGCAAACAATTCCGGGCTTCTTTTACTTATTGATATTAGAATAAACTCACCGATTGCATAAACAAGCTGCTTCACAAACAGGAGATTTTATTCTAGCATGAAGAATAAACACTCAAGAGAAATGCAGTACCAGGTTTGCTGAGCAGGGGGCAGAGCATGTCAACTGCACCTCTCATGGCAAAAAATATGAGCGTTGCCTTTGTTGGGCTGTTGATAAAAATTCTAGTCTAGCATCTGAGTCACAGAACAGAATACAACAAACTAAACTCAGAATAAAGCACAAAATTATTTATCTCTAACCTTTTCCCACTGGGTCAGGAAACTGACGCCAATGACTAGTGACAGTCAGGAACTTTGAAATGAAGAGTTGACAGGGCCAGTCCATTGACAGGTGTACTTCATGTCTTATTTGTTTATTATGTTGTATAAGAGTAAAGTATTATGTGTGTAGCTGTCTTTTAATTTAACTCTGTATTTCTAGGATAAGCAAAATCCATCCTCAGAATTTAATACAAAGAACCTGTTGTTGACCGTCCTCCAGTTGTTTTTTGCCGGAACAGAAACAGTCTCTGGCACTCTCCGACACGGGCTTCTTATCCTTGTTCACTACCCTGAGATACAAGGTATCATGTATTTATAGCATTACAGGTCTCAGTCTGGCTTTATTTAAAGTGTAAAGTAGCTAAACCTCAGAACAAAGGTGTAATATATTGCTGCTCACAGTCCTTAGATGTGGTGACTGCATTAGTTTTTTGGGGGCTTTTTCCTCCTTATTTTCACCTGGAGATCCTGCCAGTAAAACACATCTTGTATCAGGGTGACAGCACTTACTTACTGTATCTGTAGAGAAGCAGTTTTGTCACCCTAGAACATGACTACAGAACATCTACCTCTCTTTCCTTTGGCAAGGAGCAGTAATGGCCTCAGAAAGACAGCTGGAGACAATGATAAATGATAGTATCATCATCAGGCGGACTGACAGGGTAATCTGTCATCGGAACCGTGAGCGTCGAACAGTGTGCTGCCTGCCGGGGGCTCGTGTTCGACACATTGCGGAACGAATTGACAGATTACTAGATGGGGTTGGGCACGACCCCGTTGTCATGGTGCACATCGGCACCAATGACAAAATAGGAGGAAATTGGAGTGTCCTTAAACAGGAGTTCAGAGACCTAGGTGCTAGGATGAAGGAAAGGACCTCCACGGTAGTTTTCTCAGAGATACTGCCGGTGCCAAGAGCCACTCCGGACAGACAGCGCGAGTTGAGGGAGCTTAACAAGTGGCTCCGGAGCTGGTGTCAGAAGGAAGGTTTTGGTTTCCTGGAGAACTGGGCTGACTTCGCAGTCGGCTATCGGCTCTTCAGCCGAGACGGGCTGCATCTTAATGGGAAAGGTGCAGCATTCCTGGGAGGGAAAATGGTAGAAAGACTGGAGGAGCTTTTAAACTAGAAAGTGGGGGGGAGGGTATAAAAATAAAATTACTTAAACTAAACGTTGATAATTTAATCATAGATAAAAATAACACAGAAAGTAGTAAAAAAGGAGTT